TCATCGCCATGATTTGCTACATCTTCTTCTTCCCGGAGACCAAGGGCAGAACGCTTGAGCAGATGGATGAGCTCTTTGGGGACCAGCTGGTGCCTCATGCTATGCAGGATTCTGTTGGAGCTGCTGCTGCTGTCGCCAAGGACGAGAAGCTTGTAGAGCAGCTTGATCACGTCTAAGCATGCCATCGAAGACTGTGCGAGCTTTGCGGTATTGGTACTTTCAGGGTTGCAATTCCATTACATGGGTGCTAACAGGGGAGGGGTTGGCCCATGAGAAACATACAGACTGTCGGTTGCGTAGCTAGGGCATGAAGTTTCTCGTATTAATAAGGGAATTCTCAGTGGCACACACTGTTGACCGCATAGCTACATGGACACATTGCAAACTGTGTTCGCGTGACACAAGTAATTACCAAAGTGACAGAGTATGGCATCAAATCCAGACGGAAACATTCGCGTCCGTCTGGACCGAGTCGTCCCAAATAATTACATATACCTAGCATTGTCATACGTAGGCCAACGCCAAAGCCTTAGTAGCCTAGACCACATTGTTCGCCAATCTAGGCCTAGTGCCTTGTTGTGTTGATCTGGCTGACAGGATTCAAAAGTCCGTTTCCAGACCATGCCCGACTAGGCAAACAAACTGGTCCGGACATAAGTCAGCAGATAGAAACGTGAATTATCAGAAACAATAACCATTTCTTCAAAGGGAGCAGTAACATGGCTATAAAAGTTTTGTGGTCGCCGAGCAGTCTTCATGGTTCTATCTCTTCCATTGGCACCTCAATTACTGAATTTCACGTATCAGCCAATCCAGGCAACCTCAGTTTCGCAATCCCTCGGCACTAATATCACGATGGTCGGCTCTAAAGACCTCCCTCCATCAACTCTCTCCTTTGGGCGCGTCTTCTACAACAATCAATTCTGTGCGAAGCCGCAATGGCCGGCCCCGGGCACCAGTCTTTCCGGCAAAACCGCGATTATCACGGGCGGGAACACAGGTCTAGGCTTTGAAGCCGCCCTTCAACTGTTAGATCTCGAGTTGTCCCGCTTGATCCTAGCTGTGCGCTCACTCCAGCGAGGCGAAGAAGCCGCCACGAAGCTTCGTCGCCGATATCCTACTGCAACTATCAGCGTGCAACTTCTCGATATGACGTCTTACGAGTCTGTCCAAGATTTCGTACGTCGCATTGACAACGAGGTGGATCGCATCGACATCGCCCTTCTCAATGCCGGAGCGATACGGATGGCCTTTACCAAAGTCCCTAGCACTGGTCATGAGGAGACAATTCAAGTCAACTACCTGTCAACTATGCTCCTCGCCCTACTTCTTCTCCCTGTTCTGAAGGCCAAACGTCAGAAGAATGGCGGCCCCGCGCGTCTTACAATCGTCAGCGCAGCTTTAACGTTGGCAGCCGCGTTTCCCAATAGAGCTGCCGACCCTCTCCTCCCATCCTTTGATGATCCCGAAGTCTTCGCCATCCACGGCCGGGAAGCCTATAATACTTCGAAGCTGCTCGCTCACATGTTTCTCTGGAAACTGGTAGATTATGTTTCGGCTGACGATGTAATTGTCAACCTCGCAGATCCGGCGTGGTGCAAAGGCACAAACCTAGCCCGAGATGCACAGGGCATCATGAAGTTGGGAGTCGTGGTATTTGGGACAACGACTGGACGAACGCCACGAGTAGGTGCCTCTTGCTTTGTTGATGCCATTGTCAACAAAGGCAAAGAGTCTCATGGTTGCTTCCTAATGAGCTGGAAGATTCATCCGTATGTTTTCTCTCGGTCATGCACCCTCACATTACACTGCTGACAACTTACAGGTTTGCCGCATTTCTATATACCTCTGAGGGTAGCGCTGTTATAGATCGTCTTTGGAACGAGACACTAGAAGAACTGGACTTTGCGGGGGTTCGATCCGTATTGAAAGAGTTGTAGATCGGACTTGGGCTCCTTGTACTTCTTCTGGAAGCTGCATCATCGCGTGTCATCGTGGGCGGGGCTTTCAGCAGGCGCTTGACTGGGCGACTTACTCGAGTGTAAGAAGTTGCCAGCCTGCCGGCCCGCACGTACGTTAGCGTCCTACAGGATAGACCCGGGTTGCTTCTTGACAGTCTTGACCGATTTTACCCCATTTCTTCGTAGCAAACTTCTACTTATCTTAGTCACGCACGCATCAGAAATATAATCTAGATCCCTAACAGAGCACTGAGAAATGGGCGTCGAATCTGACGCGATTGCTGTACGTAAAGGTGTTTTCTTCATCTTATGAGTTTAAGCTTATCTATATAATGAAAAAGATAACGGGATCTGAAGGTATTGCAGTCGCCGGTCGTCTCTGTAGCCGGGACAGAGAGCTCAGAGTGAAGTTATTGTTCAACATACCCACTTAAATGTTTCGGAATGTATATTCCGCTCGGTGGGGGTGGATCGTGGCGCCTGAGTGACTCTTGCGGGGTGAGATAAGCCTGTTCAATGAAACAATAAGAAATGTTTCCGACAGTTGGGCCACGAAGCCGATATTCGGACGTTATTGAGCAATTGACAAATCATGGAGGACGTTGATCTTCTTTCCATGCCAAGCAGTAGGACATATGCTCCCATTCCGAGGCGCGGGGTCTTAGCGAGGTAAGCGGGGAGAGACCGGCCTGATAACATGCATGTCTTATCAGTGGAAATACCTTCACACCGTCAGTTTGTTAACGAAGTAGCTTCATGCAAGCTTGACGTTTACCTCGATATCCTCGGAGGCATCTTCGCCAAGGGCAGTGAGATATATGAGCCATGGAGCATTCATATCCAGGGAGTGTCGCATTCCTATCGCCCTGGATACTACCAAGCTTCCTGGATAACTCGTCGCAGAGCATCTCAGAATTCTACAAGCTTGACATCCTTCCGATGGCAGCTCGAGCTCTCCACTTTGTCTGCCTCGCGGGCATTGCCACTGCTCTCGTTCAAAGGAGTCCCCTGCTTTTGACTCACACAATCAATGGCTTAGATCAAGTCTTCCAACTCGGCAACAAGAGCTACTTGGCAACGCCCACCTCATCACTCGCTCTCGCAGCCGCAAATCTCAAAGCAACCACCGCTCCGGCAACTCATATCGTCGCAACTACCCCCGTCATCACTGGTCGGTACCTCCAAGATACGATTACGCGCTACCTCGCCGAAGATGATGTATTCTCGGAGGACTTCCTCGAGACCATCATTCTGAGCTCCAATTACTCTTCAAGGCTTGATAATGCTGCCACAGCGTTCGTGGCATCTATTGGGGCGCAAATCTTCGTGCTACCAGCCTCTTCCCAACTTGAGTCGCCCATGCCGCCTCCCGGCCCGTTATTCTTGGAGTCCGATGGCAAGACGGTCACGCTCTCGAAGGTCTTTCGTCTCTACACGGACAATTACAGTGACTTTGTCCATGGAATCTACGAATCCAACGGAAGCTACAAGGTCCTTGGCCTAACCGATGCTGATTGGGGCTACCCCTTGATCCCCGTCCCATCCCGCATCTACACCGCAGCCGAGTCTGGGCCTCTTTCTGGGACAAGAATTGGCGTCAAGGATATCTACGACGTCAAGGGACTTAAGTCCACACTGGGAAGCAAGGCATGGACGCAAATGACCACCGAAGCCAACGCAACCGCTCCTTCTATCCAGCGCATCATTGACCTCGGCGGGACCGTCGTGGGGAAGCAGAAGACGGCCCAGTTCGCGTCCGCAGCTCACGCATGGGAGTGGACCGATGTGTACTACCCTCAGAACCCCCGCGGTGACGGATATCTCAGTTGCTCGGCGTCGTCTGCTGGTGGTGGTTGCTCCATTGCCGCGTACGACTGGCTCGACTTCGCCATCGGGTCGGACACTGGCCAGTCTATGCGCCAACCGGCGGCGTTCTCAGGTACGTTTGGAAACCGCCCGTCGCAAGGCCTTATGGTTTTGGATGGAGTCATGCCTATTTCCCACGGCGCCGACACGGGCGGTGTGTTTGCACGTGATCCCCAGGACTGGGTGAAGTTCGCTAAGCTCTGGTACGACCCTTCGCTTCACCAAGATAGCAGCCTCAATGGGCTACCCGAGCTTGTGGTTCCGGATTCTCGTGCTTTTCCGAGGCGAATTCTGTATCCCATCGACTATCTTCCGCTGAAGAACCCCGCTGCCGAAGCCGTTCTTCAGAGCTTCCTGGTCCGGGTCAGCAAGGTCATGGACTTGATGGTGTCGAAAGTCAACATCACGGAAAGGGTCGAGACCGTAACTAGTCGGGATCTTGACGGGATTCTGGCTGACCTGGGTACAATCTGGACCTACACACAGCTCAAAGTTGTGGCAACACCTCTGATTGCACACTACAGCCCTGGTTTCCCTTCTCTTGATAGACCGTACCGAACTTCTTTCTGGAATTTCACCTTAGACGCCGAAGGTCATACCGAAGCGCTTGACCGCAGACGCCAGGACTCCGAGGCCTGGCATCGTGAGGTCTTGTTCAATACGACCGAAAGCTGCTCTGAGTCCATCATGATCTACGACATCGGCACGGGCGGGCTTCCCTCCTTCAGAGAGGCTGAGTTGAATGAGTCCCCCGGCGCTGCCTTACCTAATGGTTCTGGAACTCGAGGAGCTGCTTCTTCCCTTGCGTCCTACTTTGGAAGCGTAGACTTCACCATTCCAATTGGTCAGGTGCCTTACTACAGCAACATCACCCACCGAGAAGAGATGATGCCTGTGACTATCAATATGGTGGCCAGGAGGGGGTGCGATTTTGTCTTGTTCAATCTTGTCGAAGAGTTGACGAAGCTGGGAGTCTTGGGGCCTGTCACTACTGGTTCGCGAACTTTTGTATGATACAATCGTTGTTTCCACTATGGAACTAATCTGAGATCCGTCCTGCCAATGCCTCATCTTCCATTTTCATTCCCAAAAGACAACGCCAACGAAACACAAAGAGTCATCTCGAACCATTCATCATCTTCTTCTTCAATGGTCTCAAGGGTCCAGCCCAGTTCAATGCCAATCATAGTCATCTGGGTAAGCACCAGGCAGATTCTGGTGCGAACCCTCGGCGTAGGAATAGCCAATCATGGGCTGAAGATCAGAGCCAGGCACTTCGACAAGTCCAAGAACAATCGAGGCCTGTCTCTTCTCCCAGCACGCCACCAAAGTCTTCTTCTCCTGCGTCTTCATCCACTCACACTTTTCGCGGCCTTCTTTGAACTTTTGCTTCTCGTGGTTGAGAAGCCAGGCCTCGGCATTCTTGGTCAAGGGAGTCTTAAGCGTCTTGACGCTCACAATGTCGTAGAGTTCGCTTGTGTGATTTTGAGTTGGGGGAAGTCCAGCCTCCATGCCAGTCTCTTGCGGGAGAACTAAGCTCGGCGACGCCATTCGCTTCGATGACTGAAATCCACAGAATGCCATATCAGCTTCAATGTCGACGCCCTGTGAATGATACGTTAGCACGTGGACTTGGGCGAGTTGGAGGGGGTATGGTGAGATACCTGTTCTGGTTCCTGGGCTGCTGGCCAGTCGAAGAAGGAAGAAAAGGTTGGAGACGTCAAGTCGATTGGATCATGTTGGGTTGTGATCAGTGCGTTGGGAGCGAATGTCTGGCATGATACTGTTAGCCAACCTTGGGGACAAACTTGTCAATTATGGGACTTGCCTCTCTCATAAGCTCTGTAGTAGAATTGAAGCCAAGCATTGTGTTCGCCGTGGCGACGCCATGCATAGGGCTGGATTCAGTTGCCTGCTCAAGACCAACCACTTCTGTCAATGGATGAGAAGAACGAGTCGGCTGGTGCTCGCTTAAGCCATGATAAGGACACTGCGCCATGCCACCGTGTGGAAGTTGCTGCTGCTGAAGCTGCTCTTGGTTGTCCTCAGCCTGAGTCTCAGCCTTTTCTTTGCGAAGCTTGTATCGAGCCGATGACTCCCTTCTCTTCCTGCGACACGGCTCGCATTGGCTTCGCTCCCTTATCAGACCCATATTGGTCATGGAAGAGAATTCCGATTGCGGCTTAGACTTGTGGCACTTGGTACACAACTTCTGGCTTGAAGATGCTTCACCAACACCTAAGGCCAAGGGTGCGCCATTCCCGTTCAGAACGGGTGGTGAAGGTGACAGAAGGAGCGATGCCGGCAAAGGGGGCAAGGTACTGTGACCCGGTGCAATTGGCGGAGCGAACAGAGGAGTCTCTGCTGTGGGAGCTGAGGAGCCTGGCAATGTCGGAATCAGTCGAACGGGAACGCCGGGGTTAATCGCGGAGATGGGAGCTTTCTGAGATGAAGAGCTTCTTCGAGAGGAAGAGGGCTTTGAGGTTTTTCGTGAAAGCCGTCTCTGTGCGGGTGTCTGTGGTCTGGAAGGAACGTCCAGGGGGTTATTCTCGATGCCAAGTACTTGATGAGGCATGTGAGGGACTTGTAAACTCGAGGTTGCGCCCTGCGCCTGCGCAGGAGCACCGTTGGCATTCGGTAGTTGAGTTGCGCCCATTCCGGGCAAGCAGAGAGGGATCGGATCTCTGACAGCGAAGTGAGACCCCAACGTCGCTGAAGTTAGAGGAGAAGATCCGAAGAGCGACTCGTCGTCGTCGAAGTCCATGGCTTTGTGATCGGAGGAGGAAAGATTGGGGACCGAGATTCAGGGACTCACGGTCGCTTGTGTGAAGTGAAAGGATTAGTGGGAAAGGAAAGGTTGCAATATAAGGGCAGGAAGTAAGAAGAATGGGTTGAAGGAGAAGGTTGAGAATATTTCCACAAGAAGAAAGGAGCGACCGTGAACTATCTAGAAAGGAAGTGAGGCAGAAGCCCTAGACGAAGGTGAAGTGAAGAACTGCGATTTCATCTAGAGTTGCTCGCTTAATCCAAGACTTCAATCACGTTCACCTCGCTCCTTCCTCTAATTTTGAGGAATACTCGGGCGTTCCAGCCACTTAGCGAATACACGAGTATTCAGGTGCAAATAGCTTACAGAACAAAGGCCTTGGTATCAAACCCCTGCTTGATACAATTAAATCGACTTCATCAAAGACACTTGTCGATTCTCATTGGTGAATTGTGAGCTCCTTGTCTCAAGTCACAGTTGAAATGAAGCCTTTGCTTGCTTCCATTTGGCAACAACTGGAAACATTACAGCTGTAAAGTAACTGGATCTAGAAGCTATGTGAAACTATGAATTGCATGCCTCGAAGAGTCCGAGTATAGGATCGATGAAACTCGTATTCACCTTGGTCAAGTAGAGACATTCAAATTGTTGTGAGAATTCAATTTCCAGTCCTAGCGAACAGACGAGAGCATGACTTAACCTCTTGGCTCTCAGTTCAACTTGTCCTTCCCGACTTCCACATGCACAAGTCCTCGTCAGGAGATGGGCAAGTGTGACTCGAAGACCAGGTACTAACTGACTATACAAGGTGTTGTACCAGAGCCTTTAGTAACGGCGTCTTGTCTCCTGTCGTAGATAATCTTCTCTCAATACTAGATATCTTATTCAACACGTTCCTGATTAAGAAGTAGTGGCTTGCTGGTAGCCCGATCTCGTAATTTTCTAGGAGCAATAAGACTACCAGGCATACGGTCATAGCCATGTCAACCTTGCCGATGCGCTTATTTCTCCCAATTTGAACGGCAGACAAAACAGTAGAGCTTATGGTGAGTGGTTATTATACATACATAGGTATTTATATATATCCGTTCATTTAGGAGTCTGAATTTTCAAGAACCCAAGCCCTTTCTTCAGGTGTATGTCTTCCACTTGTTTCTCGCTTTGCGACAAGATGCGTTTCCGACATGATCACATGTTCGAGTTCAGTTTACTCAACGAGGTATCGGCGAAGGAAAGGATAGAGAATCTTTCCTGCTCTAAGAATCATTCTCAAGCATTGATTGGTGTGTATTTGGCAGGATAGGTATTTCCATCTCCATCAACCTTCACATGGCATTCAGAGTTGGCCAAATGCATAATTTCAGTACGCTGCAGCCCTCAATCGCGACCAAATCCAAGTCAAGTAGAAACTCGCAGTTCTAGCATTGAGTTAGCACCTAGAAATAACCAGAATTCAAGCCAGTCCAGTAAGCTGTTTCAGTATCGTCATATTCAGGTTTCTATTGTATGTTCACATGCTGATAGGAGTTCCTCTTAATACCTCTAGGCGCAAAGGCGCATGTGGTACTGGTAGACTCTGACAGGCCAACCCGCAGGAATGCTGATGTTTGCGGAAAATCGTTGTCTTAAACCCGCTCGATTGAACGATGATTCATGCCATTTACTATTACTCGGTCCTTTCCGTGCACTACCTATTTGAATGTTATGGTCAGCGCTTCATGATGTCACCATTCTTTCACTGGTGCAGAAACGTCATTCTGGCTAACCACATGCTGTGCGCCAAAGATGACGCGCACGACCATTCAAAGTGTATAAGATCTCACCCACCGAACCTTAGAGAAAGGAGCTATCATCTTCATCATCTACTACATCATGAACAGAATCGCCCTTAGACAAACCAAGCTTTTCGCTGCATCAGTACCCAGAGTTAGAGCCATGTCGTCTCAGAACCCCATCCACAACGCTGCCGAGGCCGCCGGCCAAATGAAGGACACCAGCCCCTCCAAGCCTAGCGTCATCTCCTCAGAGGGCGCCATTGGCAAGCAATTCAACCCTGACGGTAACATCGGCCAGATTGGTAAGTGATGTGTCCAACACCTTTATCACATAACCTTAATTCTGACATTTCATTCATAGGTGAAGCAGTTGGCGGCCCTTTCTCAAAGGACGGTGTCATTGGAAGTCAGTTTGATGCAAGCAAGGGAGGCATTGCAGGCACGGTGGAAAAAGCCGTAGATGGCCCCCGAAACCCGGCGAAGAAATAGCTTTAGATTCGGGGAAATGATTATACTATTCCTTTCGGCGTGCAGCAATACAAATCTCCAACTTCAATTCATCCCAATTCATAGCTCCAATACGTAGTTGAGACAGGCCTTATCAAGTATCCTATGTGAAGCTGACAGTCGTACCGCTGTCCGGGATCTCAATTGAAGAAAGGACTCACAGGTCTCACCAAGCGCATGAGTTCCTTTCATCGTTTGGATACTCTAAGGAAAGTTTTCGGTATATTTTCGTTCACATCATAAGCGCAAGCAGATTTTATGGCACAACCTATCTTCCTGACACTCGTAGCCATGGTTCTGCCTCATCAACATTCAGCTGTGAACTAACTCCCCGAAAAGAAATGATGTGATCCCTCCAGCAGATAAATGTCGTTGCCTTTTGGTTACCTGACACGCACCTCGGCGGATACTACACAGTACCTTAGCTTTGAATCCCTCAATCTTGCGTAGCTGGTGGGCTGCCTGGTCAGCGCGACGACATTGCGCCGAGGATGACAGCATTCGGGCGCAGCTTCAAGACATGCATGGACACAGGGAAGGCAAGCCTATTTTGTGTCGCAATTTCGTTGGCCGGGTTGGACGATAGGTCTAAGAAATGTCTCAAGCACCACGCCATGTCGAAGCATGAAAACCAGCTATCTGCAAGGAGACTGTTCCCCCGGTCACCGTAATTAAGTCAGTTCAAACCCCCCAAGTGTATAAAATCCCGTGACCGTCCTGGGTACAAATCCTTTCCACATCTTGTCCTCATCTTTCTCACAACTTCTTCCTTCTATTGTACCTTCCTTCACATCTTTCAACTTCGAATCGCTACAGACGATCTGATAGTTCGACAGTGGCCCAAACTACCATCGCGATGCAGGCCTACCAGGACGACCAGTTGAACAGGGCTGAGCACATTCTTGACTATAGATTCAATACTCGCAGCCTGCTCTTGGAGTCCTTACAGACTCCAGGTTCCGGAGTCCGAACTGCCGGTGACCGTTCCATCATTGACGGCAACAAAACCTTGGCTCTCTTGGGGGACAAAGTTCTCGGGATCTTGCTTGTGGAAGCGATGGTGAGGGAAAACCTGGTAACTAGGGGTGAGTTCATATTCGACAACGAGATTTCTGCATATCGTTTCCCATCCAAAAAACTGACATGGCGATGGTAGGTGACATCGACGCCGAAATTCAGCGTAAGCTCAATAATGCCCGACTTGCGGGAGTTTTTGACATGGTTGGCTTCCTGGAGTGTCTCAGCCTCAACCCATCTCAGGGTTTGTCCATCGGTCCTCGGACCAAGGCCGATACCATCGAGGCCATCATAGGTGCTGCGTACTTAGACGGCGGATTCGAAGCTGCCAGACTTGTGGCAACGAACCTCCATATTCTCTGATATCGGTAATGTCAAAACCTCCTAACCCCTTGAGCTAACGATCAGTAGCCTGCCCAGACCAAGAGGAAACCTGGAAGCCCCGCATTGGGGCACCGAGGGATCCAAACGGAGATCCCCTCGGAATATGGCGCTTGGCGTCTCTTGTCTTCGCGGCAGATCCAGCGAAGAACATCGAAGCAGACTGGGGTCAGCTTGGGTGTTGCATTCTTCTCTCAAGATCTGCTGCCGAGAGAACCGACCACCGTGTTCCTAGGGGATTCCGTATGGGGCCCTTGGTGCCCCGATGCGGGTGTTCCGGGTTTCCTCTTGGCCAGGGGCCTTATTGCGGAGTGAGCGGGTACCCCAGATCGCTCACTCGCGTAGTCTGCGGTTATGGACCGTGATGAGTTCGATCGTATGTGTAGTTGGAGGGACTCTCAGTCTAACTCACTTTTCAGTCGATTTGGTGATGGAGAAGATGGTTGTTCGACGCGGAGAGGGGTCCGCACGGAAGAAGGGACACATACATGCAGGGATTGGAAGACGGAAGAGCAATGGGTACAATGAGCTCTGGGTTGGATTACTATTTTGAAGGAGATGATTCTGTTCGGGGCTATCGGTTCGATACACGTGGACTCCCCATCTTCTGGAATTCGCACTTTACACCATCCCCCTCCCCCTGCTCCTGAGCTTGAGGCAACACTCATTTGACGACATCACGATCTCACCAACACTCAAGCTCTCAATACACGACTTCGATTCTATGTCTCGCTGTTCCAGTTGTGAAATGTCGCCATGAAGTTGCCGGTTCAACATTCGGGATGTCTTCAGATCAAATATGCACCTGACAAGTATCCAAGGCTCGCAACCTTAGAGTGGCGATGCAGCCAAGTCAACCTACAATACTCGTATTGGTTCTGTTTTTCAAACTTGCATCTGATCCTTCAGCAAAATCTGAGTTAAGGATGCAGCCCGTCAAGGTCGCACGTTAAACTGACCTCATCGAGCAAAACCTTGGGCATCAAACCTAATTCTGGGACCAGGAAGATCGCGAAACCGAGCTATGAACGATGCTCCCACTGGATTGCGAGGACAGTCTTGATGATACAGAGACAATCAGGCATTCAACGTCCGAGACGCACAGCATCTCCTAACAAGACAACACAACTTCAGTTTCGCCGCGCAGGTTTCCACCATAAAAGAAAAGCAGGATGATGTGAGACAAAAGTACATGTACATCACACTGCCCGAGGCGGAAAGGGCGCCGATCAATAATACGCCTCCCAGGCACGCCCGAGCCTCCCGTTCCCCTACCGAAACCCAGGATTTGATTGGATGCTGAGCAAGATACAGAGTAAAATAAGTTGCACAACAGCAGCTCATCGGAGAAATCAAGGTCACATAGTGGCCAAAGGCACCTCAAATCTGCCCTCCTTCTCCGATTACAAGACATGTCGAATCGAATAGTAACAAATCTCCATCCTTACCCAGATCTCTCACCCCAGTCATCGCCGGGATGCGGGGCAAAGCGGATACAAGATGGGGCACCACACGGGACTCGGGGCCGGTAGGGCTTGGTGGTTGATGGGTTCTGCATACCCCGCTGGACGTACGTCGGCCGGATCCTTCCAGCCTGCATGCTATTGTCTTGGCCTCGCTCATTGGTGAAGTTTCTCTGTCTACAAATGCCTTGTACGGTACGAAGTAGCATTGCCATGGCCCATCTCACTCGCATGTCATTAGATGCCAATTCCCTATTTAAGACAAAGCAAGTCACTCTCTGGTTCTAAGAACCTAGAGGGCAACATGTTCCCATGAGGTAAGTTAGTAGCCAGGTAAAGTTCGATTCCATGCTGAGCCGAATAGCGGGAGCCAAGGACAGGATGCCAACCCCGCGGCATCAACGGCACATAAAGCTAGTATCCTGTACTAGTCGACTAATTGTCTTGACATACGTCGCTCTCGGATCCTGCGCCATCAACTCGTGGCACCATAACACTGTGCCTAGGTATCTTGCCTGTCCTTCTTGTCTCTCAATTTCGCTTCGCTTCCAAGCTGTGCCACCTCCAATATCTGATCTGCAAGAGCAAGAAGCCTTGCTCAATTCCAAGCAATGGGCCCGTCACCTGCTCACCGTGCCCATTCACCAGCATACCCCAAAACCAAGCTTCCCCCGTCTTCCTTCCCCGCCATCTTCGCCCCAAAATTCAATGTGCCTTGCCTAGAGAAAAACCCAAAAAGAAGCCTAAAAGAACAAATACCACATCCAATCCATCCGACTCGCTTCCTCGCCAAGAGCATCCACGGCACGCCTCGCCTTCGCCCGGTCTGACACCTCGCGGTGCGATGACGCACCATGATGGCGCAAGGTAAACTTGTATGCCTGATTCAATGGGAGCCAAGATGGGCTGAGCCGGCTTAATTGTGTTCACTTGCAAGCAAGTTTGATCACGAGGTGCACTTCGCTGCGCTGGGCGAGAGTATTTGAGGACGGGGGCATCTCCGATAGTTCGCCGGAGAAAGACGAGGCCCTTGCCTAGGTACCGCTTCAAAGACCTTTAATTGGATTCAATTGATAGAACTTCCCTCTTGGCAATCACTATTATTGTGAGGTACGCGGTCTCACGATGCAGCTGACCCTCCCTCTCCTGACACTCCTCGCCGGAGTCTCGGCCGCACCAATTAAGGGCCTCGACCGCGCAACGATCCAAGATGAATACGACTTCATCATAGCAGGAGGTAACACACGCTCACTTTTCCCAAAGTCACAGTAATCCAAGCGGCTAACTCACTCTTCCCCTTCTCAAAGGCGGCACCGCCGGCCTCGTCCTCGCAAACCGCCTCTCCGAGTCCGGCAAACAGCGGGTCCTCGTCCTTGAAGCGGGGCCGAACCCCGAGGTTGTCTCCGCATACAAGCCGCCCGGCGGCAACCAGTTCCTCGGCGGAACCGCCATCGACTGGTCCTTCTACACCACTCCGCAGGAACACCTCGACGGCCGCATCCTCCGCTACCACCGCGGTCGGTGCCTCGGCGGCAGCAGCGTGACCAATGGCTTCTACTACGGTCGTGGCAGCTCGTCCGTCTACGATGATTGGGTCAAAGTAGGGAACCCGGGTTGGGGATGGGACGACGTGTATCCTCTGTTTGTTAAGGTGAATCACACGCTCACTTGTCCAGTCTTGGATGTCTGTCACGCTTAACTGACATGATAATAGGGTACGCACTTTAACCCTCCAACGGACCACGAAGTCCGAGGCTTCGACGTCTCCTACAAAACCCACGACCCCTCCGCCTACGCCGATGGTCCTCTCCAGCTCGGCTTCCAGGGCTACGTCCCACCTTCGGGCGTAGGCTTTATCGAGGCCGCCTCTGAAGCCCTTCAGATCCCCATCGTCGAGGACCACAACACGGGCAACAGCACCGGCGTGAAGCAGGGTACAGGCCACCTCGACGCCGGGTTCATGCGCAGCTCCAGCTACGATAGTTATCTGAAGCAGGCCGAGGGCCGGAAAAACCTTGATGTTCTGCACTTTGCTCCCGTGTGGAAGATCAACTTTGACCAGGTGGAGGGGAAGAACCCGAGAGCCGTAGGTGTCGCTTTCATGGACCATCCTACGGGTATCGTACATGAGGTTAGAGCGAAGAAGGAAGTTATCGTCAGCGCGGGGGCGTTCAACTCGCCTCAACTCCTAATGGTTTCTGTAAGTTTCTCTTGAGTATCGCGGATGTGGCATGATGAACGGCAGATCATGTACTAACCTCGTCCGCTTCAGGGAGTCGGTCCATCCTCCCAGCTCAACGAATTCGGCATCGAACCCGTCCACATCAACGAGAACATCGGCCAGCAGTACGTACCCCTCCTTCTCACCCCTCTCACATTACGACTAACATCAAATCCCCTAAGCCTGAACGACCACTCCGTCTTCAGCATAATGGCCCTCTCGACCCCCGAATTCTCAACAACAGACATGGCAGCAACCTACCAATCCCTCCGCGCCGCACAAGATGAGTTCTACAAAAACACCACGGGCGAGTACACGGCCCCCTCGGGCATCACAAACGCCTTCCAGAAGCTCTCGGTCGACGAGTTGCAGGCCATCGGCGCGGGCGACGTCGTCACCGCGGGGCTGGCGAACCAGTCGCACATCGAGTACCTCTTCGAGAGCGTCTTTTACCCGAGCGGGCCGACGCCGTACTACACGCCCCGCGGTAACGAGACGTACATTTCCCTCACGGCGTCGAGTATGGTGGCTCTGTCGAGGGGAAATGTTACGCTGAGGTCAAATTCTATGGCTGAGACGCCGAGAATCAATCCTAATGTAAGTCCACGTTTGTTTCCTTCCCAAGCGCCTCCTATTTATCTCGGACGACTTGCTCACTTTTCTTCCTCTGCCCCCCCTCTAACGAACGTTGACAAGAAACGGAGTAAGCTAACCCATTGTAACATAGTACTACGCCCACCCAGCTGACCGCAAAATCGCCCTCGCCTCCTTCAAATACCTCCGCAAGATCCTCGCCCATCCGCGCATGTCAGAATACACCGTCGGCCCATCCCACGGCGAAGTCTCCCCTGGCGCCGGCGTCTCGGAAGACGACGAGGACACCGTGCTGGCCTACGTCCGCGCCAATACCATCCCCAACTGGCACGCCTCCGGCACGAACCAGATGCTGCCCGAAGACAAAGGCGGCGTCGTAGACCCGCGGCTGAGGGTGTACGGCGTGGCCGGGCTGCGAGTCGTGGATTGCAGCATCATTCCCATCCTGCCTGATGTTAATATCGTGGGGTCGGTGTATATGATTGGGGAGAAGGGGGCGGAGATGATCCGGGAGGATTGGGGGGATTCGTGATTACGGTTTTGGAGTAGTGATGTCTGACGACGGTATGATTGGTGTCTGTAGGCTCAGCTCGGGTTGCGAAGTAGCTTTCGGTATTGTCTGATGTGGTAATGAGTACGTCTTAGTTGTAATCGTCGTCCACGGCCATCCCTCTGCATAACCAGATAGACACATTCACACATTGGTAACGGAGCTCCATTACCTTCCGGAGCCGCAGTAATGGCCGTTACCAACCAGCCATCGGTTCTTACACAGGACTCCTGCCTGATAGACTGATCTCACCTCATGGAAAGCAAAGGACCCTGGTATGCTCCATCCTCGCCCAGACTTGCCATCTCAACTTTTCTGAATCCCCTCCAGAGACCAGAGACAAGATGATACACTCATCCGACGACAAGAAAGACACAAGCCGGGGGGTTCGCTTGACAACCACTCGTCAAAGCAACATGAAGTCAAACAGCATAGCAAGGCAAGCTACCAACAACGCCCGTCACATAAAACGTAGCACCCCACCTCCAGTCGGAAAATCCGAGCCAGGAGTCAAACGGCCCCAAAATTTGAGAGAGAGCCTCCAGAGTTCAGACTCCAGAGTCCGCAGAGGCCTCCTACTATCTGCTTTACCAAGCAACCCCTTACAGGCCAAGGGTACATCAAAGACAAGGGTATCAAGACCAATAGCCCCCAAGAGAACGAACCCGAAGATCCAGACACCAGATGACAGTGATCTCCCAACCATACTATTCGTCCATGTCCTCGGCAGCAGGTGGGGATTCATCGGAAGGTGATCATCTCGTTGGACGGTTCGGCATCTCCCTTCCAGACTCTAGAGAACATGTCTAGCAAAAGACCTGTACCGAGCCGAAGCCAAGCCGTTTCGAAAGACGAGACGGTGACAGGCAGGCGGTCGGCTGAACAGGTTCGGGGACGTGCTCACGGAAAACCCATGAGTGGTGGGAGAGCGAGAACACCGCATAGATGCACGGGGTGAGCAGATTCTTGAGAAACGCACGCGACGTTTCGTGCCTCATCTTGTATGGCAGGTCCATAATCTTACCACCGTAGCCTATGGGTCCAGCAGGCACGCAGAGCAGACATATCGCGATCTCAATCATGGAGGGAAACAATCGTTCACATGGAAGAAACGAATCAGTGCAGATCAAGTTAGAGAATTCTTTTGTATTCTTCAGATCGAGTTGCGGGAGCGCCCAATCTATCTAGTACACGATGGCCATGGCCAGCCGTAAATTCCACCTCTTACTCGCCAATGTTAACAATCATCAATCATGCCGAACCAGCTTGGTTCCTATAGAATTCTTTTCGACCGCCGCAACATTCTTAGAATAAAAATAAGAAACTAGATGCCGTCCCGGTTCGGGTGTAGTTGATTCCCAATCAATCCCAACGCCATGTCCCAGATATCAAGCTAGTATGCACAGGAAATGTTGTAGCGAACTAAATGCCCAAAATAAGGTGCTAAAAGAAAGTGTAGTAGAGAATGTGGTGTTTAGAGGAAAAGCGACTCCAATCTGGCGAGAACTGGTTGAAGCGCGGCGTCGATGCGTTGCACCTTGGCCATGGCCACACATGCGTTCTTCTCATCTTCTGATGCATCGACGAGCTCGTAGCGGGCAAGAACCTTCTCGGCTTCGACACCTCCGAAGATCTCAGCTTGTGAGAGGGCTTCGGTGTCAAGCTCGACAGGGGATACAGTAGCAGGGGCAGGAGCAGAGTGGTACAGAGCGAACTCAGGGTCGTTCTCGAACTCGTCATCGAAGACCTCCTCGGTCGCCGGAGCCTGGGACTGAACCTCCGGCGCCAGGACCTTGGGAGCCTCAATAGTGGGGAGCTCGATCTTCTCGTCATCAGACTCGAATTGCTCGCCGACAAAGTTGGAAGACTTTCCGGAGAGAACGTTGGTGTCAATGGTAACGGGAACGTCCGGGGTCTCGAGAACAGCGAAGACCTGGGGTTGGAAGTTGTAGGCGTCGTTGTCAATGTTCAGCATGGAAAAGTCCATGTTCTGCTCAGGGAGCATGGCCATGCCGATCTGCTGCTGCTGAGTCTGGTTGGCGTAGGGGTTGATGTCCTTGGGAATCTGGCGCTGCTCGGCTTGTCTCTCAACCTTGACGGCGGGAGCTTGCTGCTGCTGAGGGGCGGGCTGGGGGTTGGTGCTGAGGTGGTCAAGGAAGTTGGAGAATGAGGGAGAAGCGAGGAGCATGCGGGTGAGATCCTGCAGGCGCTTGTTCTCGTCCTGGAGAGCACGGTTGTGCTGGCGAAGCTCGCCGTTCTCGGAAACCTTGTTGGCAATCTCGGCCTCGAGCTGAGTGATGTATTCTGTAATGGGTTAGCCGAGTTAATGTTTTGGCGTTGTGGTAGCGAAACTTACCCTTTCTGCGGGAACGGAAGGCGCGGGCGGAAACCTTGTTGCGGAGTTGGCGACGCTCCTTGCTGCTGAGCTTCTTGCCCTCCTCGCTAGCGAGAAGTCTCTCATCCTCGTCCATATCCTCCTCGTCCTTCTTGCATCTAGGCAGGTTCATGAGAGGAGTGGGGCTGTCGCCCTCTTGAGCGGGCTTAGCACGCATGGAGTTGAGGAGCTGGGTGATCTTCTGTTCAACAATGGGGTCGGTAGGCTGCTGGCTTTTGGTGCGCTGCTTCTGGCCCATCTGCTGACGCTGCTGCTGCTGCTGGATGATTTGTTGCTGTTGTCTTTGCTGGGCCTGGGCCTTGGCAAGCGCAGCCTGGGAGTGCATGCCGGGCCAGAGGCGGCCCACGTTGCTTTGCTGGGAGGGGACCACGGGAGACTCTTGTCCGCCGATGGCAGTGGGGTTGACGGTGGTGTTGGGGAAGAAGTACTGGGAGTCCGGAGGGGAGTCAAACTCCATATCCATATCCAAGCCGGTAGAGTTTTGGGAGGGCGATGTGTTGAAGTCAAACATGTCGTTCTCCGGGCTCAAGCCATTGCCCAAGTAGTCCATTCCATAGCCGCTGTTGTAGCCGCTGATATGAGAGTTGGCCTCGTTCACGGCCAGGGTGCTGGCGAGGGCACCGGGAACGATGCCAGTCTGCTGCTTGTAGAGATCATACTGGTGGCTGGGGCCAGTAAGGGGTTGTGATGCGGACGGCATCGTCGGGGTCGCGACGGTGCTGACTGATGGGCGAGTGAAGGTGTTCTTGGCGGTGGCCGCAGGAGAGAGCGAGGGAGACTGATAAGACATGTTGTCATACTCGCTGAAGTCGAGGAGGGCGTCGATGTTATCGACGTTCTGATTCGAGGTCGTCATTGCCGTCGAAGGAGGATTCGATCCCTTGGGTATGATGGGTGTTGGTGGATTAGGGTTCGCACCGGTCTGTGGCGAACCTTTGTTGTGACTGTTGGGTCCCGTACGCGACGACGAGGGAGTGATCGATATAGTACTCGGTTCGGTAAGTGAGGCTCGTGACGATAGATGGCAATGCCTCAGGTGAGTGTTTCGTTTGGTGGTTTGGTTGAAGTTGAGAAGAAAGAGGGTTCGAGAGGTGGGAGAGAGAAAGAGGAAAAGAGGACAAGAAGAGTGTTGAGATAGGCGACTAGTTTAGGGGGGTCTGGGCAGTGGATGTATGGGAAGCGTAACAAGAGGGACTGAGCACGGGGACTCCGTTTCTTGAATGATTTGGGTGCCTGGTCCTCGGAGCAGCAGGGGGGAAAGGCGGGCCCCAAGCGGATTCTGGGCGGGCTGAGCAGGGGGGTGGGCTTTGGGGGGGAGTTGAGGAAGGAAGGGACCAGGAGTCCCAGGACGGGCGAGCAAGAGCGAGGGGAAGGTACTTTGGTACTTTGGTACTTTGGGAAGGGAGTGGAAAGACGGGATTGGGGGAGGGAAGGAGGGGAGCACTGAGCAGAAAGACCAGAAAGCGCAAGAGGGAAGACGGAGGGAAAGAGAGAGACGACCGGGACGCTGATGGGAGGGAAAGAGGGACGCGTAAGCCGATGGACGACGTGTCCTGATTGGGATTAGCGCGGGTAGATGAGAGAGACTGGGCCGGGCGTCCTTGGCTGACGGGCTGCACCTTCTCGTCGGGTGGGAAGGCAGGCAGTGGTGCTCCTTCCCTCTCGCTCTTTCTCACTCGTCCGTTGCTTCCCTTCCCATTACTGCGTCCAGCGAATATTCGTACCAGCAAATGCAGGCAGGCAAAGGAAGGAGCATTGGATCAGAACTAGGTAGACCAGTCAACGGCAGACAGGTACAATCGTATTCGAAAATGCCCGGGTGGGAAAGCACGAATTCGCAAGATGTCAGGTTCCTTCTTGCAGCGATGCACACTTACAATGTACACGTCTGCGGCCTGAGGATGACGACGCCAACTGCCCTTTTCGGCTCAGTCGTCGACGAGTACTCGACCATTCGCTCACACTGATTCGCTCCTGGCGGTCCCCATTTCCTTCATTTTCTGCGCCTTTTGGCTTCCAGGTTCTTTTGGTGAACCCCCGGAGCGCTGTGGAATTCAACGTGGATTCGCAAGCTCGTCACTCGCCAGAACAGCGACCGCTTGTTTTGATATTGAACTCGACCACTCGCTCTACCGCCTGTCGCCTGCCGCCCAACCACAAGCAATGGCGCGATGTCGCCGTTTCGAAATGTTGCTGACGACGACTCGACGACGCACGCTTATTGAGAGAACTTTTTTGACTTTTTTTCTCCGGTTACTCGTCTTCGCCTATGCTACCGACAGATACTAGGCCTGTTTACCCGCCCATTTTATCATCAATTCCCACTCGTTGATGTTGGCTACGGCTCTATGTACAATATCGTCGTCGATGATGAATCCAATGTCAATCCCCTCCCCCCATCGTCGTAGCCTCTCTAATTCTTCCGATAAGACGGAGCAGAATCTAGCCGACATACAAGAACGAAGCCGCAAACTCGAGCTTGGTGAGATGACAAGATGACGAGGCCGCGTATTGTTCGGGCGCGAGACCAAATCCGAACCAAGCGAATCGCTGCAAATAATACAAACCAAACTACACAGGCGCCTCGCCTGGCGCTATGCTGCGCTGCGTGTTGCTGAGTGCTGACCCGAGCCGACCAATTCACTGCCCGACGGAGACGGGCGGCGGGAAGTTTTGGTTGTGCGTGGCGGCAGCGCACCCTCCCCTGTTCGCTTTCGCTTGCGAGGTCGAAGACAGGTATCGAGTACTCAATGCCACGCCCAGGATATCCGCAGTCGCGTGTACCAATACGAATAGTGCCGCCATCCCGGGTGTGGCTGTTCCAGTTGGCGCTCTGCCTCTTTTTTGCTTTCGGCGTGGGTTGATCGTCCGTCAATGTTGCTCTGAGCTCTCCCTCTTCCCACCACCAACAAATCAAAGGCCCTCGTTTTGTTCGTTTAAAAAGAAGGTTGTTTACTCGGTATGCTCAGCCTCAATCACTGAACTCATGGTCTTCGATTCGATTCAACTCGCTCCAACGACCTGACCCAGCTGCTTACGATGGGCTTGGAATCCAGCAGTATGCAAATACCGGCCACCTGTCCGTCTCTAACCATCTGAACCTCCCAGGCTTCTCAGCGTCGCCGCTCAGAACAGTACAGGCCCCCATATCGAAGCAATCCAGACACCCCTTGACACAGCATTCCCACTTGCGGCAACCTTTTTCAGCATCCACGCCTCCCCTTGGTTGCCATTCTTTGAAGCAATAGGTGCAGACTGGTCTCGGCGACTAGAAACACGGCGCGGCATAGACTTTCACTTGCAAGTTGCGGCTACGGTGCTCGTCCGGGCCACTGCCCACATCACGAAAAGGTCCCTCCGAAAAGGCTCACTGGTCTCCATCCGAGCTTCATGGAGGTGGTCAAGGAGGTGGTGGAAGGGAGTCTACGGCGTTTGGCCATGCGCTGACATCAGGCCGTCCCATTCTCGCGGCTCCAAATTCTGTTCAGCTCGCCCCCGAAGCGGAAGTTGTGCCGTCGTCCGTTGTTCACGGCATTAACATCTGGAAAAGACTTTTCGTTCAGGGAGCCAGAGCCAGAGCCAGACCCGACGGCAACTTCAGGCGTCTCGTTCGCTCCCGACATTCCGCACTGAACTGGGCCCTCAATTTGGTCGGTGGTTAGATCCCGTTCAGGGGATCGCCCCGTTCGTTCTGGAAATGCCGCCCATGATCATTCAATCCTGTGGGACGCTTTTGTGATTTCCGTTCCCTGACCCTACCGCGATAATTCATGCACTGCCACCACGGCCGTTATCACTATCGAAATCACCAAATCATCCATCGCCCACGTTTGATTCGCTCATCTGCTTTTCGTATGGGCTGTGCCGTTGACCACCCCTATGAGCGAGCTTAGTGGAAAACACTCGCGACACGGTGTGGCTTAGATGAGCTTCTATTCGCAGTAGAGCTGCTTATCCGTCTGCAACAGTCACTGCTAACCCAGCCCTGTCGGGCGTTGGACCACGACGATGGCCCTGGAAGCTGGCAATAACAGCAAGCCCTCAGCACCACAACGGGAACAATTCTAGCTCATTACGGAGTAGACTTCTGGCTGAACGGCGGTCACTGCAGCATCGCACATCTTGCATCACAAGTTTTGGTCGACTTCACGCCTTTGGGCCACAACTCAGCAGGCGAACGTCGACCCGCGGGCCCTCCCAATAAGGTCGACACACGATGGAAATTGGGCTTGTTACGGCCCCCAGGCTCAAGGCGAATCTGATGTTCCTCGCCATCTCGCCTACCCTTGATACGCGCAATCTGGATCGCGAACCGTCCGTCCACTTTTTATCACTTTTGGGCTCTTGCTCAAGAAGGGTTCGCAGGCGTCTCAGTCTCCATTTCAACTTTTGACAATCTCCAGAGTCCAGACGACTGTCAGCCCTTTCCCACCGCGAAATTGGGCCGAATATCGAACGCTGGTGCCATGATGAATGAGAATCCGACCAAGACAGACCTGAAGCCAGTACTTCCAACACTAGGTACGACAGAACCCCCCGGCGCCGTTTCGGCATTGCTGTAACATTGCGCCTAGTTAGTACTATGGACACCGTCTCGGCTTCTGGCACCTCGCTCTGGCCCCACCGGTCCCGAAGGTCCTCCCACATTCCCGACGTGCCGACTTTCTCGAGTCTCGCCGCCTCGCACACGCCGCAGTGGGCTAATGTCAGTTAAAGTCACCATCAGAAGACTCGACCGCCACCATTCAGCAGCCGTCTATCAACCCATCAATGGGTGTGGGCTTACATAATGAGCTAAACCTTGCACTAGCTGGGCTGCTTAGTGGTTCACAAGTATGTATTCTTATGCCGAGAATCAGGGTGAACCGCTGCCAGACCTCGCCCCGGCCAAGCGCGAACCATGACGTTGTGTGAACAAAAATAGAAAATATGTACGCCTTGTTTCACCTGCGGCACCTTCACAACCACGACAGCCCACAGAGTCCCGGGAGCGAAATCCAGAACGCCTTGTCAACTGACAACGGGTTACTTCCAAGAGCCAACCAGGGACCACCGTAAACTCCATGCTCCATTCCCGCGGCTGCTTCCTACTGGCCAGCTCGACGGCCCCAAATACCGGCAAGGCTCTTTTTCCCTTTTGGTGTGGGAGAACGCCTTCTGACGGACTATAACGGACATTAGGGGCTTCGGCACCAAGAACCGCAACATTCGATGATTTCGACTACCAACCAGACATTGCCCTTGACCTCAAACTCGAAAGAGCCGCTTGAGGGGGGCCCTGCCATCCCATGTTTCGATGCATGGTAGACACCCCGTACTCCGTACCGCACCATCAATCAACCAACCCCTCAGATTCTCGCGGGAATGGCGTCGGTTTGATCGCCCACATCGGCGCATCACCAGGAGTCTGGAGAAGATCCAGGGAGGTGTATTCGTACATACATAGCAGTGACACATGCGGGCCACAGCGAATGGCAGGCCGACAGACTTCAGAACGGCGGCGGCCCCTTCGACCTCGGGGTTCTAGAACGTCGACTCTACATTCCTTTGCCCCCTACACTTTTCCCCCCTCATCGCGAAGAGCTGAACTCTAGGGTCCGATCATCCCGAATCTTATCAGTTATGGTATATCCACCTTACAGTTCGGAGCAAAAGCCTGTTCGATGAAAGGCTTGTTTCTGCCCATTGAAGATGTTCTCTCTCAGGTCATTTCGTTGAATGGGCCTCCGCCATGAACTCTCTTCGAGGGGTTCACTCTGGAATCGTTTTCTCAAACAGCGCCGGCCAATACACCCTCATACCTACTTATGTGCTCCCACATTCCACGATTTGTTGTCTGGAAAATCGTCTCCACAA